TCATATGTAAAATGTAAGCCATACTTGATGTTAATCTTAATGCATGCACAATTTTCTGGTGTTAAAAGAAGTTTCCATTCATTGGACAACAAATTAAAGTGCTTCGCAAATATGTATTGTTTCACTTTTAATCTTTTAGGGTTGAGAGAATAAGTTAACTGGTTTTATAAAATAGTCTTGATCTTCGTTATGAATATACAAATATCCATTATCATGTTTGACATTAGCATGTCTCAATGACAGTACTGATTAAGTGACAATACCAGGAACTTGTCTTAAAGTCATCAATCAAATAGTTCCCTGCCAAGGTTTGTAGTGAGTGTATGATGACTTGACATGGAGTGGTACAATCAGGACACCTGCCTCTCCCTCCATCCCCAACTGCCAGTCATCCTGTTACAGGTACAGCTTGGCAGTGGCTGCCATCATCAGGGTCCTCTGAAGCTGGACTGTGGAGGAAGATTGGCCATGGCATTGGGATATCAGCTGGCTAGATAATTGCCTGTCCAGACTGTTTCTAATTGTCTGGCTTCTGGTCACTTCTGACCAGTTGTGTGTACCTATGGCTGTGGTCTGCAGCTGGTCGGGTCATATAGCTCGTATACACTGCTCCTGCAACAGATTGGCTAAATAAATCTTGCTTAGCACCAACAGATAGAGACAGATCCGAACTGCTGTCCAGTAAGCCACCACTAATGTCAGCTGCAATGGTCATACATATCATTCCTGTTTGCACCAATCAAATCGTTATCCATAAATAACAGGGTGATTATCTCCCCCTGACTGGCCACTCTTCAGCATAACTGTAAAGAAGGTAGTTTTGACATAATTATGTTGTTCCTGAAAGGGTGGTCTTGACATGTTCTGAGACTATGGGTAAAGGGTTGTTTGGACATGGAGTGAATGGTCAAGTTTTATAGGGTTAATCTTGAACAGTGGTCAGAGTTAGGTCTTGGTCAGTTGCACTTTCCATGACTGTTCAGTCATGCCCAGCAGTCACTGAGGTTAAGATCATGTCAAGAATGACATGCCATTTGTTGAAACTGATGAATGTTGATTTCAGTCGGTGAGAGAGTCAAGTAATAATGTTTGCTTTCCATCATACTTAGTTAAGTTGCTTCTTTCTGTTTGACATGAAGATGCTTCTCTGAAAAGTGAAAATGCCCACTTGGATTAAATTTGATTCCAGATAGATTTTAACAGTGGAATGATTTCAAAGAAAGGCACTTCTGACTTGATCAAAGACTTGCAACACAGGAATGTTTGTTTGACATTGATTCTGTAAATCAATATGAGGGATAAGGTTATTGATGTTGGATAAAATACAAACTGATTATCTTTGTTATCTTTGATGCAGAGCCTTTCAAACATAGCTATTGCATGATTTGTGAATTCAAACATTATGTCTGAACAAATGACAGATTTTTCAAACTATTGAAAGAAGTTATTATTGTAATCGAATTCTGGATTATGCTTCTTTTATACAACCAAAGTTACAAATTGTTTCTGAATAGTTCCTACCTCATTCCTGCCTCTATTCATTGTGGTACTATGTCAGTATGTGTTTAGACAGTGTTTACAAACATGTATGGGTATAACACACGGGACAAGGAGGAAAAAAACTCACTAATTAATTAAGTGCATAAAGTGGAAATTTTAATATGGAAATGTAAGGCCCTTTGTCTAAACCATTCTGAAAGTTACTGCTTTTTGTAAATATATGCCCATTAAATTTGATCTGAACTTGTTAGCTAAACTTCACAATATTCTGTACATACTGTCTTCACAAAATGATCTTGTGCAAAAACAAATACTTCATTTAAAATTTTACCATCAATGTCATACATATATTTTTAAAAATTCATGTCTCAAATTTAATTTTATCAACATTTTCTCAGTCCTCGGCTCCTGTATCCCCAAAAGTATCATGTGCCTTCTGGGATAATCCAAAATGTCATTGTTGATTGAAAGCAAAAAGCCTATGAGTATAATGGCTTGAGTTATTGACATGAGAGATAGTTAATTTGGATGACAGATGATATAGACAACATTGATAAAGCTGTACACTCCGTCTCCTTAATCCCATTGTCAGTTCTTCTATGTTCTGAACATACATACTTCTCATTAAATATTGACATGTTGTCATTCCCCATGCCACTTTGCTGTCAACGTTAAGACACAAGAACATGGTGTGAACTTGGATATATATTCTGTTTGGTAGTAGTTTATATTGTTTGTCTACAGTCGACATGCTTTTAGCTGAAAGGTCGCTCTGACCTAGGCATATATGGCCGCAAGCAAGAAGCTTTGTTTAACTCTCTACAAGAGATATATTTCCATTGCTTGTAATTTAATGCTGAGATAGGTTTTTGCAATGTTCTTTTAACCATCTCAGTCTTACTTACATCATGTACTTTATGTTGAGTTTTATAAGACTAAATTTTGGTTGAATTATTGTAATGTACTAAGACTTTATAAAATGTGGTGTGTCAGACACACAGGGGTTAATCTGTCAGTGACATCTTCTGCCTTTACTAAAGATGACAACATACATGATATTTACATTTCAGATTTACAGTTTCATATGTCAAAGATATGTGACCCCCCTTTCAAATTCCTGCATAAATACTATGAATGTTAAATTTAAACAAGATTGCATGTCTCTCACCACAACTGCATGCGCTCTGAAGCTTTTCAGTAAACAGGCTGCATTCTTTCAGCCCAACTTAAAGCTCTAAATATGACAGTTTTTCAGCTGTTGAGAGTGCAGTGCCTACAGCATAGGCGTGTCTGCCAGGGGTAGAGTTTGTGTAATCTGTAACGTCATATTGAATGTAGAGACGGCATCTATCAATGTCCATACTGAAATATGGAAACCAGCTCATGACAAGGGTATCATTATCTAATTGTAAAAACATGTTTGACCACAGTGATATCAGTGACACATTACAATATCACTTATCATGGGTATCAGCCAGGCCTTTATGTTTGACGTGTCATATGTGACATGTTTTTAGTGATTTTAGATGACACTGTTGACTTTGTCATTGATACCAACAGTCTTGCTTGAAATGTAACCTTTAAACTTAGAATATTCCATCATTAAAAATCAATATTGTTTTTGGTGTTGAACGTTTTGTGTAGGTCATTGTAGTTATTTTACAGAGATGAAATCATGTGTCACCAAGATGACTTAAACTTTATGACTTTAAATGTTTTGAATATTTTACCAAATGCTTCCATTGTGGATTTTTATTCATAAGCTGCCTGAAGTTTGTCAGTCGTTGTGGTTTAATCCTAGGACACATTTGTTGAAATTTTCTCCCATTCATCTTATTTAGTTCAATAGATATTTAGGCAATATGAACTTTTGTTTTGCGAAACATTATATCATTACACATCAATAACAAAGTTTTTCTAAACAGTTTGACAGGGCAATTCATCTCCATCTTCTGTTTCTGTATTAAAGTGCAATAAACTGATTCATTCGTTCAATTGGAATCGTAAAAACACTTCCTAATGGTACCTTTGAGACATGTAAACTATATTACATCCAAACAGTTTTTCAAATTAATACAATGGGTATTTTAATCTTGTATTTTTATGATTTATATCACATATCAGTAGAATCAATACTTTCGTCTTCTGACGAGTTAGAGTGCAATCCTGACAATGGTAGAGGCTGCAGGTTTTGTTGAACCTTTGTGACAATGACAGGATGGCCGCCATGTCAGATTCACATAAGCCTGACTGTAGCCTGCTATAGGGCAATAAAAGTGTTCTGGACTGGTTCTATGTGTTAGGTTTAGTAGAAGCCAGTAGAACACCTAACAGCTGTGTGTTGTTGGAGATCACTAAATCTCCACAAAAGCCATACCAGCTAATTACATTCAACATATAAACTGAGGGTCCAGGTATATTCCATTTTGATTTAGATCCATTGTCTGTTGACTTGAGTCAGAATGCATTGCAGGCCGTCTCAGTTGGCCGCTTGATGGTAGTGTAGACAGTAGACAGATAGATACCCACCCTGCTGGTGTATATCATCTGCAAGGCAGTTGTTATTCTATTAATGGGCCCAATAAGACCAGGATTCCCATAAATTGACCCAAGAAGAAAGCTTTAGTTGTGTTTTATTAGTAATGGTAAAAACTGCTTTTTGTATTTTGCTTCAACAGAAAGAGGTTGCTTGGAAAATAAATCCTCTAGATAAATAGTTTCATCAATATTTCCTTTTTAGAAGCACTTTGATACGGGGTATTATTGTACGGTGCTCTCTAATGAACTGATAGATGTTTGTGTTGAATGTAGACAATGTCCACTGTTTCATGTTCACTGTCAATAGACATGAAATTGGAGGGTGCCTGTAAATACAGGAAAATGGTATATATTTTGTTATACGACAACCTTTGTAAAGGCGTTCTCAGTGTAGAGAAATATCCATGACATGTTCATATGTTTACTGTCGTGGGCATTGGCAGATGATTTGAAACTTAATTCAATCCTAGAATTACATGTATAGATCTTCATACTAAAGGCTTGGGCCCCATTTTTGACAAGCAATCTTAACACTAAGATGATCATTGCCTTTGACATACGCTAACAATGATCATAATGCAAAGGTGGCTTTGTAAATTGGGTCCCATTCTGTGGATTGGCTGTCAGTAGGTTGTGGGTCAAGTGAACAGACAAGGTCTTGGTAAAAGTAGAAAATAAGTTACAAACAATGGACCAGGGTCCCGATCCAGAAAGCATTCGTAGTACTACGACATTCGTAAGTCTATGGTAAACTATAGAGTTACGACAGGTCATAACGTTACGAACGCTTTGTGGATCGGGTCCCAGTGATGTAAGGTGACGTTCTTGAAAGCCAACCATGAAGGACTCATATATGGTTTATCAGTTTAGAACAAGACTCACATATTTGCCTAAATTTATTGGAATTGTAGTGTGTAAATGAAATTATTTTCAGTGATTCTAAATCCATCCTTCTGTTCCAGGTCCAGGAGCATATGATCAGAAGGTTCACAGAAACAAGAAGGGTGGTCTCATAGTCACCAGGGACAAGAGGTTCAAGGACATAAAGACAGATGCACCAGGCCCGGGTGCTTATGAGGTATGTACATGCTAGAGCATCTTGTAGTGGGGATTCAAGGTTAGAAGAGGTCCTCAGCAACCTGTGCTTGTCATGAGGCAAACAGTTGAACCGGTGGTCTGATTCTGTGACTTGGTGGCCTGATTCTGTGCCTTGGTGGCCTTGTACCCTGACAGCATGGATCAGTGCTCAAAATCTCCATCACTGGATTGCCAGGTCCAGACTTGAGTATTTACATGCCTCAGTCATATAGCTGCAATATTGCTGAGTGCTAAGTATTAAATTAAATTTAAAACAAAATCCTAGGTCATCCTTAATTCTCAAGGACATCTCAGTGTTTAATTTATATAGCACCTGACAGATACGATAGAAGAACATCTTAGAGCAGTAGCTAGGTGTCTGAACAAACCTACAAAAAAACATCAAATTTGATTGAATTTCTAACCCTATAGCAAGATTACACAGGTAGAACAAGATAAATGTAGTATTTACAAGCTCACAATGAACAATATTATCAAATAATGCAGTAAGGATGTTACAATGTAACTTGCCGCAGCGGTCATCTTCCTGAATTTTGTAGCCAAGGAACTATAACATACCTACCCTCCTTTGTTCAACACCATCATTGCAGTGTTCACGAATAGTCTGACCCTCTGACAAATCCGGCAGATTCGCCAACGGTCAGACAGAAGTCTACAACCTGCCGGCCCCAGTGTCTGACTGTATATTTCACAATGACTTTGACTGAAGTTGTTTTATGTGACATGTGACACTTGTTTGCTGTTTATAAACCTTATGTTTGTTAATAATTTCAATGTCAATTATAAGAAATATTAAATCTGAAATGTGTGTATAATTTTATTCCATGGGTCCTGTGCATTTTCAATGGGTCAGACAGACATCTGAAACTTACAAGACCCAATGTCCTGTGACTTTGAAACACCATTCGTGAACACTGCATTGCTAGCTAAATTTGCAGATATTTGTGACAAATCAATTTGTTTATGCTGGTTGATTAAACAAAAATGTAAGCATAGATTATAAATGAATTTGGAAGGTTACAAATATTTGTTAGTTTTATTGAAAGTTGATGTTGATTAAATAAAAGTATCATTGAGTGAACTACAGAGGATTGCACTGTTTTCACACTCGTAAATATGTCTTCTTTTTATGTTCTTTTGAGATGTTAAAATGGATCGGGAATTAAATCAATGAATTTCACTAGCCTGTTTTTAAAAATAAATTCTCATGCTCACTTTCTAGTTCCCTTGGCTAGATGTTGAATTCTGAGAGTCACAGTGTTAAAAAACCCAAACTTTTTAGCTTACATCAATTCATGTGAAAATATTTGAGAAATATCAATCAACAATATAACAAAGTAAGAAGTACAATATTCCGTCAATAAACAAGTAGAAACACTCAGGGGTATGAACATGGGATTGGTGGGGTTCCAACAAGGACTCTAGGAATGAAATTGGACAGTGTGACAGGGTAGAGGCCGGCCTGATTGATGAAATAGTTTTTATGAGTCAGCATAGATGCATCTTGCTCTTCTTGCATGCTTCTGTCACTAGCTTCAAAGACATTCATTTTACGACAAACTTCTAAACATGTCTTTTAGTGAACTTTTGTACATTTTCTCCCTAGAGAAAGACATTTTCCAAGGACTCCAAGCCATTTCTTTTTCTCTGGACGCCAAAGTTGTAATTTGAGGACAATCTCATGTCATGTTTTTTCTGCTTCAAACGATTTTGAAGATCTTTCAATATCCACCAGTGACAAATGCTTCTTTTTCTTTGCCTACTCAATTCATGAATCCATCATGGCAGCTTCAGTCACACATCCATCTTAAAACTGGGTTTTCAGGTTGGAGCACACATAACTTTCTGTCTCTTTCGGTCTATGCATGAAATATTTCACTAAAAAAGAAGTATTCCAATAAAAAGTTTCATCTTTGTTGAAACCAGTCATGGAAATAAATGTTCAAAAACCAACAACACTCTTCATTGACTTGTGAAAGTTTCTTTGGAGTTTTCCTAAATATTTGCTGAATCGTTAAAAGTCCTCTCCCATAACTCTATCATCCAAATAAGGCAATGAAAACAAACAAATGGCATGCTTGATAAACGGAACTTCTAGAATTTGAGATGTGAAAAGTAGACAGACAAGATGAAGCTTGTGATAAGGCGGCTGACTAATAAAATGTCTGCCTCATGGGACAGTATGCAGGACATGCAAGATCCTACTGGATACAAACCAGTTTGTATTCCTTCGCTTGTTTTAACTGGAGCTCTTCATCATTTGTGGGATATTTTTTTAAAGAAAAATCATGACTTTTGTCATAAAAAAAGTAGACTTGACTCGAGTTTATTGTAAGAATTTGGGTTCAAAATTAATGGTTCAAGAATTATTGTTTGAAAAACTTGAGATATTTTCATTTTTTGTTTCATCTTTGACAATTTTATGTGCAGGCTCTCATCGGTCATATTTTTCACATGTATTTTATTTCTGTAACTTGAGTTAGAATTTAGTTTGTGTTTATTGTTGCAATGTTGATATCTGTACAGAGAAAACTGTGGCTTGTGGAAAGATTCAGGATAATTGAAACCACAATCGAAACAGTTACAATTTTGAGTATTGGCTAATGAAAAAAGGCTTAACTTGATTTTTTTCTGGTCAAAAAAGTAACTTGATGACACTGTTTTCTCAAGTCTCTTTTACATGAATTATAGAAAAGAACAAAAGGCATATAATACAAAATAGCATTAAAAACATCTGGCCCCAAAATACATGCAAATTCTAAAGGTTTACAAAGTTTGTATCGAACTGACATGCGCTGATTAAATCTTGAAAAAGATTTTTTGTTCCCATTTTGTCATTTTAGAAATCATTTATCATTCTTGATCCCGCAATTCGCTTGTGCTGGGTGGGTAAGGATTTCGAAGCAAAGATGCCCAGCTTCGTCTAAATGTTTAACAAGCCTAAGACAAAGAAAACTAATGCGATTAAACATGTTGAAAAAATCGTAAGATGAGGAACAGACTTGACAGAATATTAAAGAAATCACTAGGGAGGGAACGACATTTTCCCGTTTTAATGCATTCATAATGAACAAGCAGAGTTTCAATTTCAGTCCGAGTGTCCAAGCGTGGCTCCAAGGTGACACGGAGGCTGTCAAAGACTAATTCATGCAGAATAATACAATTGACCCTTCAGTCCCGTGGCTTGCGTTTTTAAGGCACTGGTTCCCCAATTGATATCATTTTACTATTATCCATTGAAATTTGCCTGATTTATCCATTTTTATATTAGCCAATATCTTCTCAAGGCTAGGTCAGGTTTCTACTAATGTGAAACACAAACGTAACCGTAAGTCTCATATGCTTGGTAAATGGGTTAAGATGGGAATAAAATTTGACGAATGTTTGAAGTTTGTTTGTGAAAAGAACAATGATGTTATTGCAGTTTACTTTTTGCCTGTCGACATCTGTTTATCTTTTTTCTTACTGCTGAAGTCACCGTGGAAAATATCCCATTTCCTGTTTAATTTCACACTGCTTGCCAAAGACATTCGTAGGAATGATAGTTGAGAATTCATGTGATCGTGTTACCATGACAGTTGCTCAGAATCTGTTATTTTGTGTAAATATGCAGTACAGATGAAGTCGGATGATCCATTTCCTTTGTACAAAGTAACACACTTGTATCAACTTACAATAAAAATCAGGGAAAATTGGATTATGCTGCTCTGTGACAGCTGACAGAAAATTATTTTCAGAAATTGTTCAATTTGGTTCGACCACAGGAACCTAAATGTATAATTAGGGATGATTTTTTTCTGTCTGAAGATTTTAAAAGAGTAGGTTGGGACCGATGAATTCTGTGCAATTTACGTATCCGATTTCCTTGTCATGCTCAACCAACAAAACCAGAAACCAAAATCTGCATCATTTAACAAAGCAAAGAGGAATGTCCATTATTCCACAATGAAGGCAGTTGGTGGTAATTATATGGGAGAGTGTTTTTCTACTTTGATGTGCGAAGTATTAATCATATGACTATATTATTATCTACAAGACAAATGGCATGGCTCGGACAGGGATATTGGGTTACAGGGGCTGCCGTCTCTACACAATGGTCATACAACAGGATTAATTGATATTGAGGATTTTCCCGAACTTGAGACGGTAATGAGCTGTGGAGAAATGACTGTATGATTTGAAACCAATAAGTTAATGGGGTTTTCTATTGTTTGACAGTTACATTTAAAATATAAATTGTTTATTACTAAATGTTTAACATAAATGGTACATACATTAAACATTTTTAACTGAAACAAGTTGAATTACTAAAGATTTGTAAAATTTACGAACAAATTCCTTAACACTGTATTTAATCTTATTCAGTTTCTTTCATGTTCATTTGAAAAAGTTATTTCAAAATGGGTTCATTGACAAGGAAAATATCCACTGATTTATGAATAGAAATGTTAAAATTATCAGTGATGGAATGGAAATGTCAGGAAAACAATTGTTTTCAGAAAATAATTCCTGACCATTAATTCTAATCTGAATTCTTTTAGTGAACTATGTTTCATGATTTGCTAATCCAGATGAATATAAGTGGGAACTGTACCATTTAGATCAACAGAGGGCCATTGTAGACTAAACTAGACGTTAAGAAAACTACATGTACTTCAAAATGCACTTAAACTGTGTAAAAAGAGGAATGAAAGACTTTCTGATAATGCACTGATTCTACCTGATCTTCAGCATAAATCTCCACTTGTACATTTTCACATAACAGTTATTACTGACAAATGTCAACTTCCCCAAAAATATTTGACTCCTTTCAAGAAAAAGGCCATTAAAAAAGACCCAGAAAGAAAGATAATCTTTCTCTGTCTCCACTCTGTCAACTTAATAAAAAATATTTGTCTGTGTTCAAAATATGGACAATGATGAAGTTCCCCAACAGAAAAGTAATGTTTTTATGTCTCCCCACCATGTCTGTTATCATAG